TTAACAAAATTTCTTTGGGATCATCATAGCAGCCGCGGTGTTCCGGCATTTAGGCTTCTGCCTGCGCGGCTGTTTCGATGTAAAAAAAATAGAGTCGAAAAAATCTAAAAGTTTTTACTAGAATCCCATTTGGCCAATTAGTACTATTAAACAATTCATCTGCCAGATCATGATCAGCACCTATTGTAAAAGATTCTGTCTGGCCATTCTTCCACCTGGGCAATTTGTTTATCTCAATGTAGTAGCGAAGAAAATAAAAAACACACGTCACCTGAAGGCAGATAAAATATATTGTCGTTGTCAGTTGTACGATGAAAAGACCGTCTGTCTTGCCCAAAATTCAGCAAAGATACAGAATATTTATGCATTTTCATTTGGCATGGCGATCATGTAGTCCTATCAGCACGAATAGCACAGGATAAGTTTCAGGTATTACATTACACGGGGGTGTTCGATATAAGAATAATCTCTTGAATGTGTATAAAGAATACCCGTTTTCAAATAAGTTTTCTCGACTTTCTCACAACATCTGTAGAGATGCTTCCCAGCAACCACTGCTCGGCTCATACATATAGGTTTGAGCTGGAGATACCACAAGCTCATCAACACGAATGAATGACAGAAGCGCTTTTAAGTTGTTCACCTCAGAATAGATCATTGGCTGCTAAACATCTATCATTATCACTCCCGTTGATACCATTTCATGTAAAATTTAATTTCATTCATTATGACATAGCTTTTCGTGGGTCGCTTAATAATATTTACGGTAAGTTCATGAATATTTGTTTTAGTACCCCAGAGAGAATTTTCAAAATCAGACAAACAACGCTAAAACTGTTAATTAGATTTGCTTAGAAACTTGTTTTTGAGCATGTCGTAGAATCTGAGAACAACAATATATCGTTCGTTTCATATGTTACGCTCCCTGCATAAAAGAAGTATGTACTCTGAAAGGAAAAACTATCAATTTTACAAAGTTCCAAAGTATGTTTCTCATCTCTTTCAACTCATGGACAGAACTCTTAATTCTACTCGGATAAAATAACACTACTGTAGTAAGAGTGGCCAGTTATAGATATGGTGGATGGCGGAAGCTTGGAACGCAGCATATACGGTTGATAGTACCTAGAAAAACAAAAGAGGCGCAATCAATCTATTTCACCAATTAATTAGTAGAGTTTGATAAAGCATAAGGAAGTAAAAGACCCTGGATTTTAGAACCATCCGTTTAGCTTTACGTTACTCCTACCTAACTTTGTTGTGGTGCGAGACTTCTTCTGGATCGGTTTAATGGTGCCTGAGTATGCTGAATGGAAGGTTTTCTGTGTTTATATAAATGGGCAGAAGCCTAAATGCCGGAACACCGCGGCTGCTATGATGATCCCAAAGAAACTTTGTTGATGCGATTTTTGAACCAAAGGGACTAACTAAGTCAAAAGTATTTATCTTCCTATACCTCCTTCTAAATTACTTATCAATCTGTTTCTACTACGTGTTCTTCCCAGTTCGCTCTCGAACATGCAGATGTAGTTTGCAGTCATGCTTGTGTCCAACTTTCTTGATACCTGCTCTCTATAACTTTAATATCTTGATGGAAGCGCTCACTTTGTTCTTCATTTCCGGCACCAAGATTCTCAGGAAGAAAGTCAACAAGAGAATGGAGAGAATGTATCTTTATACTCATATTGCAACCCAGTTCATGAAAATTGCTTATCGTTTTACACTCTATTTTGATAACTTTCATTAACTTCTTTTTATGCGGTTCTTGGCCCAAATAATTTTTGCGTAAAAAACAAGTTGTTCAAAATCTACCAACAATATTAAGTCAACTTCACGGAACAATGTCCAGCAACTTTACTTTTTTCGCTGCTACATAATAATAAAAAAGATATCGCTCAAAAATATACTGATGCAATTTTTTATTTTTTCCGTAGTTCAGCACCTAGCACTCATCCAAATTACTAATTAGTATGTTAAGAGGAAAACAATACTATTTTATTTATATTTTAACAGGAAGCCTTGTGCTTTAAAGAACTAGTATTAGCGAGCAAAGTAAAATTGTACAGATTATACAATAAAATGTTGCTCTTAACATTAAGTCGTTTTAGTGAATATGCCTTTCCCGCAGACTAAGCGATAGAAAGAAGCATATATCTGTCTCTCAAAAATTTGAACCTAAAGAAAGAAATCTCGAACTTGAGAACTTTGCTTGACACTCAGCAAAATTTGGTGAAGGATCTCAATGTTAACATTCCTGATGACATTTCGAGACTTCTTTTCTGAGGTCCGAAGTCTAGTTTTTTTATACCGAAGCAGCCGCGCAGGCTAAGCTGGGAGACCGCGGCTGCTATGATGATCCCAAAGAAACTTTGTTAATCCGATTTTTTAACTGCCTAACTAGAACTGAGAAAAGCTTCCTCTGGTAGATTCTCGACACCCTCGGGACAAAGGAGCGGCCAGTTCTGGATGTACGAAGTTCGACATGGTTAGGATGGGACGCCAAAGTCAGGCGGGTCTGCCTGGCAGGCACATCGCGCGGCGGCATCATGGAAAAAAGCTCTGAGCAGCAAAGCCCGTTGGCGTAGCGGTAGAAAAGAGCTAGATCGCCGACGGGCCACCGGTGCGAAAGAGTTCCGAGGCTGTCTGTTAGAGAAGAGTCATCGTTCAGTCGGACCGCCCTCCTCTGGACAGCATCGAGCATGGATAATGTAGTAGGGGCGGCAGCACCCCAAACGTGTGAGCAATACTCGAGGCTAGGCCTTATCTGGGCCTTGTATAGAGTGAGAAGGTCATGCGGAGAAAAATACCTCTTAGCCCTAACCAAATAGCCTAGCTTTTTCCCGGAAGCTGCAGCTATTGACGAGATGTGTTCGTGCCAGATCAGGTTCTCGGTAATCTGGACTCCGACCAGCCGAAGTGAATTGCTCTTTGGCAGAACTCGGCCATCCATCGAAACCGGATGAGCGCTAGGACGCTTTTTGTTCGTCAAAGTACAGTACTGTGTTTCGGAAGCAATGAACTGTACAAGATTGTTGCGTTCCCAAGCAGTGATAGCCTCCAGGTCTCTTGTCAGAGAGGAAGTCGTCGCTAGTCTTCTTTTTTCCAGCTGCGCGGCAGAGATTCGCTTGTCACTCTGAATTCCTGCATGCAGAGTGCTGTCATCAGCGAAGCTGTGGATTGGGTTGATCGTGCAGGAAAGGAGGTCGTTGATATGTAAGACAAACAGTGTCGGAGCCAAGAGCGAACACTGGGGAACACCCGCGTTGACGTTGTGGGATGAAGAGGAGAACCCGTCAATTACGACGGATATCTTGCGGCCAGAGATAAAGTCAGCCACCCATCTGCAAAGCTTTTCTGGGAGGCCATAGGATGGAAGTTTGCTTAAGAGGGCAGCGTGCCACAGCTGATCGATCGCTTTCGTGATGTCAAGAGCAACGACATGAGCCTCACCATAAGACTGGATGAGTTTACTCTACAATTGCGTGACGTAAGCTAGGAGGTCCCCTGTGGATCGTTGGTGCCGGAAACCATACTGCCTGTCGCTAATCAAGCTGTGACTTTGGAGGTAGTCCAGAAGCTCGCGATTTATGCACCTCTCCATCACCTTACTTATAACAGAAAGCAGAGCTATAGGCCTGTAATTGTAAGGGTCTTAGATCCTTTTCTTGGGATTGGTTGGACATGTGCCAATTTTAAGTTTTCCGGGAAGGTGCCGGATTCATTAGATATCTGGAATAGACGCGAAAGAACTGGAGCAAGCTCCGCTGCACACCTCTTCAGTACAATGGCAGGTATCAAATATGCAATCATACTGGAGTATATAGGGGAAGAGAGACTGTGGGAAGTTGCGGTTGAACAAAGGGAAGGCCAAGGAGCTGGACAGAATAAGCACATCTTTATAATAAAGACCGGAGTGAACACTCCTATGCTAATACGCTTGGGAGATTGTGACAACAAAACAATTAACAAAAAATATGTGCAACGGTGCCCAAAAGAAAAATGGTGAAATTGCGCTAAAAGTAATAGAGAAAATGGAAGGCGCTGCTAAAAACAAGGTCTCGTGGACAGAGAAATATGGGCGGCTGAGGCTCAGAAACCAGCGAAAAGTACTGCTGCACTAGGTTTGCGCTTACAGAACGCTGTCGACCGTCGAACTGCAGTTGATAGCTGGTATCCCACCAATTGTTTTGCTGGCTGAGGAGAGATACGCACCCTATAAAAATGACACCGCAGCCAGAAATAACGAAAGGGACGCACTTTTTGTTTGATGGAAGGGGAGATGTGACACTACTGGCCGTGGTGCATGCACTAGAAGTCTTATGTTGTGTATTAAGATTTGGAGTGACAGTGGAGCAGTGCGGATAAATTACTATACTGTACAGTTCCTCACACGACATGTTTATTTAGCAGCTGCCCGAAGAGGCTAGGAAAGAGAGAGTACTGCATATATTTCAATGAAGAGGATGATACTCCTAATCATCTACTTGAATGTGGTATAGGGTTGACTATCGTGTAAGAGAAAAAAATATATACCAAGGAACCAGCAATAGGTTTCTACTTGCCATGATGTGCATATACATAAGTACATGCCGCTAAAAATAAAAATACTTTTGGTATGAAAACTTGGTACAACGCTGCCCACCATGATGAAAAGCATCATCATACTGGGAGGTGAAGCGAACGACTGACGAGTTTTAGTGATCCTTTCTGGAGAATCTCACACTTCGGGCAGGAAAGGCCGACATGGCATTACTGTCGAGCTCCTGTACCTGAGAGTGGCTATAAAAGCTTTTCTCTGTCAAAAAAATGTCTATTTCCTAACGGAATTCCCACCACACACACAGACACAAATATAACTTTGATCTTTTTAAATGAAATCAAATCTGTAGTAGCAGGTGGTCAAATAAATAATACATGTGAAACTTATTTTTGTATACGAGTGCTACCGACTTTAAACATTGCATTATTGTCTTAGATTGTCATTTTCGGGCAGCTTAAGACCTTAAGACACTATTGGAAATTCTGGAATATCTTTATACCGCTAGATTATATGAGTATCCATTTATCAATTTATCTTGGCGGATGCCTTCACTTCCAGATTTCCTCTGAAGCGTACTATAATAACGGGCGGCAGCTCCCCTCTGCATTGGCCAGCCCCAACCGCCAAAGACTGACATCTAGCCGCACCCCAATTGGGCCTCCAAAGGTAGCGGGGGCTCCTGTCCCGGCTGCCCAACACGCATCGCTCATGTCTCTTGCGGCGATGCCCTTCATCGACAACGATCTACTGTGGAGCTCTGATCATGACGGAAAAATGGTCGACCTCTCATCATGCCTACAAGTACGTATTCAATCGAATTGAGGTGTAACGTGCTTTGTAATTTTCCATAATGCAAGGCTGAGGTGCTGGATTCTTTCAAACATATTTATGTACCCAGGGCTTAGCGACGTAAAGCTCAACAGTACCTATGTAGTATATACCTGTATACCAAGCTCCGAGAAGATTGGATTATATTTTAAGGTTGCACACTTTCATCACTTTTGTAAGAGTAGGCAAAACATTCTCAATATCTGTGGTTTTTTCTGGTAAAACAATGAATCACAAACTTATCACAGATGAAAAATCCCCTTGTTTGAGAATTAGTTGTAACATGTAGTTCCATCAATATCAATAAAACAGATTTTTTTGCATTCAGTCGAAAGGAAGAAATAATATTCTATCAAAATAAAAAGATAGTTATGTCCAAAACCTAGTCAAAATGCAGGTGTTGGCATTTGCTAGTAATGCGATGATATTGTCACACAAAATTGGATACTATCAATCAAGTAGTTTCAGGGAATTCTTAACTACTAGTCGATGGGGCAACATATCAGATTCTTCCAGTTGGAATTTTGTAGCAAAATTCACGAATCCATCTTGCTGATATGATTTGTGAACATGTCTTATGGTGTTTAAAAAAAGTACGTTATTATATGCATTTTAAAACAAAAAACGTACGACATCTATATATTTATAGATGAAATTTTCACGTGATCAAAGAGGACCATTAAAGATTATAATAAAATGATTTCAAACTGAAACGCAGTAAATTCTCTAAAACATTAGCATGCAGGCCGGACACCCAATTATGTTTCAACTTTGTCTTAGTATGTATATACCTGTAATATGTGCTCAAAGTGATGGCTACATGCATTTTTCGAATAATTCGATGACGTAATCGTTTTCTTTAAGAAATATGATTTTCTAGACGCTTTTGTCTAAAAATTTGTTTTCCAAATCTCGTACCTCGAAAAGCATTGTAAAAAAATATGAAAAAGAGAACAAACGGAAGGCAAATTTCAACCAGTTGTAGCGAACTGACCGTCTGATACAAATATATTTGGAAAAGGAGATAAAAGGGTTTAGTGCCTGAGCTTAAAACATTGCGTGTTACATTTAATTTTCTGTAAGGTGCTATCAAAAGCTCGACTTGCATAATGTCTTTATAAAATTCATATACAAAGATTACAAATATGTCTTCTGAGACAACCCGCTGTTTGTTATGTTTCCAAATCTCTTACTTATATCTTGAAAAAGAAATGAGCTACCATGGACCAGCGAAGTTTTTCCATAAGTCATGTAACCTTTTCTTCGGCAGTTGCAGAAATTAGCTTCAGAAACATTTCGTGAATAATAATTCTCTAATATCACTTAGGGAACAGATAACATACTGTGTTGGAGAAAAGGTTTCGTGAAGTCAATTGGAGGGTGGAATTGGGTGAAAACCTAAGGGCGTTAGTTGTGGAGAATACGGAGAGAGCTGAATTACTTCCCAACCAAAGCTTTGCGTTTTTTGTGACTATAGAGACACGGTCATTGTGTATGACTACAGACTACACGCTTCCTGTTGCTTATATTGGCCACTTCCTCTGCAAATAAAGCAATTTATCAAGCAAAGCATAATACTTTTCCGAGTTCATTGTTCCACCCTGCTGAAGTAAGTCAACGGAAAGAACGCCTTTATAATCTCACAATCCACACAGACCACAAGGCCTAATTTGGCAAAGTTACTATTTGCCGAGACTCCTGGTGTTCACGTCACAGTTTCCATCTTATAACATCTTGATAGATAACTCAATCTTCGTCCAGTAAGTAAGTCGGAGCCGAAAATTTTCTATCGTCAGTACGAGGTGCATCTTAAAGACCAAATAAGCCTTTGTGATAAAGAAAGAATAAAACCTTTAGCATGAAAAAAATAACGTCAAGTAGGTTGACCCCATACTTTTCACGCAACGCTGTCATTAGTTCTAAAGGATTATATTTAACACAAGTTAGACCCTATCGAAATAAGACAGCGCCATAGACATTTTATCCTAGATAGAGGATTTACAGTATTGCCACCTCTATCAAAACCCACAAAACTTTTCCTACAACCCAATATCCCAAAGTTAATCAAGCCTACCTTTGTTTTTTCTGACTTGTACTAGCAATCATTCAGATTTAAATCAGGAAACATATCTAGTTTAATTAAAATATTTTAGGATTCTATTGGCAAATACTCAGTAAATATAAACATGATGAGCCTCAAATAAAATTACTGAGCACTGCATGGTTACGCATTTTTGAAGTTATCGTCCAATAACTCGAACATATTGAGCTGCAAAATTTTTAACAACGATCAATCTTGGGTCTTATCTTAATACTTGGAATAAAAATCCAATTCCACAACCATTGCATCGAGACCTACACGAGCTAACGAAATGAGCGTATATTATAGCTGTGCTAGTTCAGGACGAATTTAGCAGGCTAAGTAACAAAATTAAATGTTTCTCAGATTCTGGCAACAATCAAAGAAATAGTTGTATTGAGAAATCTATAAATTCGTGGAAGTTGTTCATATTTCGGAAGGTATAAAAGTTAGGGAAACGATGAAAAGGAGAAATAGTAAGTAAAGCTACCAATTCGAAATTGTTTTAGTGTTTTTGTTCATCAGGATGCTGACTCGACGTTAAAGCTGGAATTGTTAGTTGTTTTCATATAATAAGAAGGTGTTCGTGATGATGTCTCAATCAAATTTCAGAATCACAAAAACCGAGAAACAATAAATAATGTTCTGCCCAAGTTCTAACCGGGCATATATACACAGGGTAATCAATTTCAAAATAGAATCAGGTACCCATTTAAATGGTTAACCTTTATTTATCGAAACACATTGCTTAATGAGAAACGTACCTTCTTCTATCACATACTGTCTTTTAGGTAGGGCATGGCACCCTAACGGTTATTAAGACAAAAAAAATTAACTTCCAGTGTATATTTAATAAAAAATAATTAGAGTAGAACCGACTACAAAACTTCTTATCATTAAATTTGCACTCATGAAACTACAAATATTAGGTAAACGTTATACATTGAACACAATAAAATAAAAATACCTTTTTCCTATGTTGGGCAGGGTTTTCTGGCGCACCCATCAGCAGTAATCTCCTAATATAGCTACGTCTCAATGACCTTGAAGCCATTCGTGAAGCCTTTTTACATCATGGTGAAACCGCTCCCCTTGTTCATCACTCACAGTTCCGAAATTTAAAGGCCAAAAAGAAAATGGGAACGGAGAAAATGAATTTCTATCTTTCACATGCGTTTAATCTTTTACAATGAGTTCCTTATGTTTACGTCTGTGATTACCTAAAAATGCTTTTATCACACCTTCTCACCATTTTCAAGCGCATACATGCATAATTGTCATTTACTTTTTGATCATAGTAATGATTTTTCATTAATAGGCGTATTTTTGGGCCGATAAAAATCCCTTTTTCTATATTTCGGAAAAATATTCCTTAAATAGAAAAATCCTTTGCCATTTTATCATCAGCGCTATACGACCAAAATACTTTTTCAGATACTACTTTTTTTTCGGGGCGTCGAGAATGTATTGTCCACTCATGTTTGCACTGGCGGCAACTACTTTTTTCAGTATCGGTCACGAAAATCATATGATTACACTCATGTCAAAGATACCAATGTTAAATGGGCTAATTTTACTTATAATTTGCTTACTAATGTCGACATAAGGGGATCTATCGAAAACCGTATTGGTGCATACCTCGAAAACAACACATGATAGAAGCAAAAGAAAGCCACTGCCTACATACTGTAACTAAAAGAAAACTATGAAAGCAGTTAGTTTTTCGGATACCAAAATGGTGTCATTCACTTATATTATTTTTGTCAGGGCCACTATCATAGCATCATATTGCACTTGCCTATAATAATGAATACAGCGAGTGTTTACAGCTAACTCTTAACATAGGACTCTACCGAACACAAATATTTACTAACGTGATTTCGCCACTGTTTCCAGGATGCATCAGTAGCAGTAGATCAACAAAACCCTCCAACATCTGGCGCAGCCGTTTTTACGTCCAATACGCCAGCTACTCCTCAAAACAACGGTATGAACGAACTTGCTCACTCAGACCTGAGCTCGCTGGTTCCTACCATCGCAGAACCTCACATCAATGACCAGGAGGACATCTTCAGGCATTTACCCGAGGACACAGCTGTTATTGACCTAGATAGCATTTTCATGGCAGAGTTTCCCGGGTATATCAAGGTGTGTAGCAGGAAACATCTGTACAAGTATGCTGCCAGCTGACTTTTGGAGAATTGGAAGTCGAAAGCTAGCATTATAATGATGAAAAATCTGTAAAAGTGTCTAATCCCATCCGGCCTACCTTTCATTACATTGTAGTTCACAAAGGCTTCTTCTGACTGATCCTTTGATACAAATTATTCATGTGAACCCTTGATAGACGAGGCGGATCATGGTTTTAGCTTGACGATCTGAATTAAGAAATTTCTATTGGAACCACCTTATGAGATTTATACATAACAAGATACTCAATATTCACCTGTCTGGAAAGGGCAGTGATTCGTTAAATAACGACAACGTTCTTTTAATTTAAGAACCTACACTTTGAAAAACATCGAAAAATAACTTTTTGTTTATTTGAAAAAGTCAGATACATACAACTTGCGACTGTTTTACTAAATTTTGCAAAAGGGTCAGTGTGTGCTTAGCTGATTGCTAAATGATTTTTGACAAATAAGATTAAACACCTCTGCTTTATGCGCTGCTTTTCCTAGCGGCTTTACAAGTGCCCGCAAAAAAACGCTGCTTCCATTTTTCATCAACTTCATCGCTTTTCATCGCGGAAATAATTTGCCTATATACAAGATGATTCAGAAACACGTGGCAATATTTCTAAAGTAGAAAGTTCATCCAAATAGAAATAGAGCAAAACAAAAAAACCGACATAACCAACTGCAATGTTCCATTAAGAAGACAGTGCGTTGTAAAGGAGGTGGGTTGATAAGGGTCATTTTTCGCCCATAACACACTCAAAAATAAAAAGTTCGATTCCAGACTATTATTTAATTTATTTGTGAACTTCAAGACCTGTATTTTTTCATTATATAATATTTACGGTATAAATAATGTTATATGCTTCAGAAATTATTGCCAAGAAATAGAGTATTTAGCGCTTTTTGTGCATTTTCGTTGTTTTTCGATCTTTGAATCATGTTTTCCCTACAAGCGTTCCATGAACCACATTAACTTTAATGTTAAGTTATTATAAGCTTGTATATGAGTATTTATTTGTTTACGTAATATATGCTGCGGGAGATTATGAGTCACGCTGCACTCGAAAAGTTTTTACGTAGTTAAGGGTATAGAAACTGTGCTGTGCTGTCGCGTTCAACGTTTATTGAAAAACTTGATAAAACAATAATGCCTGGATGCCAGTGTGATTGTTGTAAAACGTGGCGAAAAAAAACAGTGATTTCCGTAGCTGCTCGAACAAAAACATTGTAGCAATACTTAGAAAATCTAACAACTGTGATCTGCACTCCCCGTGGCTCAATCTCAAAAGGCTCCCACTTCATCTTCTGTAACAACAAGAGTTCTTACTTCATTTAGTACCTCTGATGATCCTGAAGGATGATCTGATAGTGATTCGAATGAAGAAGACAAGGAAGAAGATTAGTAAAAAATATATTAAGTGTATGAAAACTGATTATCTTTTATTATTGTTTAATAAACATATATAACACTCAGATAATTATTTAATTTATGTATACCACGAATTTCAGTTTTCATTTGAAATATCTACTCCTAAGTATGTTTTCTTCTTTGTTATGGAGTATACTTTTCATAAATATATATTTCATATCTATTCGCGGATGGGCGAAAAATGGCAGTTATCAGCCCACCTCCTTTCTATGTCACTACACATGAACTTTGTTGAAATAACGCAATGGTGAGTTTGGATTACTCTCTTGATACACTACATATAATTTACAATGTCAAGCTTTAGTGCAGCGTATTTTCAATGTAAAACAAGTTGAAGTTTTTTATATGGATCTTATCTCAAGAACTCAGACCAACTTTTCTTGAAGTCTGATGAAAATTTCTCGAGAGGCGATTTATGTAAAATTGAATACTTTTTCCAAAACTGCCTAGATGTTTCAAAAAGTTCAGTTCCGTATAAAATAGTTTTATATATTCTTTTGAAGTGATCTATTTCACAACTTCTACGCCAGTAGTCTAGTGTAAGGCATGATTTTTTTGAATGAATTCGGTATGATGACGTTACTACGTTGCCGCTTGAAAAATAAGTGCTTTAGCGTTTCACTCATTATCGTTCTGGTTTCCTTAACATAGTGCAATCTCAATAACCGCTATACGGACTCTAACAAAGCTTGGAATGGATTATTGTACGGTCACAAGTTTGAAAATGGGTGTAAGGATGCTAAGGTTAGTAACCAGAAAAGAAAGAAAAGAAAAAAAACTTTTGTAGTGTAGATGAAAACAATCAGTTTGTTTTCCAAAAGTTATGTATGTTATGTTTCAGTGAACATAAATAATGTACATAAGACTAAAGAGTAAAAGAAAGTAAACAAAATGGAACAGATCTGTTTTCTCGCAACATACTTGAACAGTCTACAACAGATGTTGGAGCATCAAATCCATGCCTTTTGGTTATATCATGTAACTCTATAAAAATATAAAAAACAAAACTTTGGAAATTTTTGCTATGGCTCATTGACGTAGCATGTAAAACTTTATATCACATTTGTGACGTACTGTCTTACTTTTGGTACAGCCAAATCATCAATCATACAAAAATGTTGAATTGATATTCTCCAATAGTTACACCAAGACCACAGCTGTTCAATAAGAAGAACATATCGTCGCATGAGTTCTACTACCGTGTAGCTCAAAAACTAACAACTTTTTAGCAGAGCAAAAAAAAGGGTGGGTCTTGGAATTTGCTATTGAATAACATGCATATATCTTATAATCCTCCATATTTGTCTAGCCGCAAATGAAACCTCATATGCGTGAAATGTTGTCTAAGTCGTTTCGACAATCTCTATGACCTTTTTCAAGTAAATAAATATCTTAATTTTTTGAGTTAGGGGTGTTAGAATTTAAGCGATAATATCTCAAATTCCTAATATATGGGAGAAACAACACTCGCCTGCTTATTTTGCGACACGTGAAACAGTTCTGACAGTATTCTGCGGTCCACTAACTGCAAGTGGCCGTCATTACCTGGTTGTTTATCTTCCTTCCTCACTGCCTGCTTCATCACAGACACCTCGCCAAAAACTGTTTTAATGATGGAGTGACGCTTTTTTATATAGTCATTATTTCAACATTATCTAGATGCCTTTTGAACTACCTTAGGCGCTAATGCAACGTTGCGATTCGATAGTTTTTGAAGGCCAGAACATGTAACAGACTTGTGCAAGTTGGATGGCTCATTTTTGTATGTGTGACCTTGTAAAATTCTGAAAGATAACATATATAAACCATATGTCCATGTGATAGAGATAAACAGTATATTTTTTGTAGTCTCTCAGGTACTCTTAAGCTAAAGACGTTGGAAATGCTAGAATCTCTAACATACGCTGTATCTTTGTTAAAAAAATGTATTGTCACTTGATTTTTCCATTATATGGACCTTATTCCATCAGTGATCTGAAATTATTTTAGAAATCTGTAGTCTATGTTGTTCTCAAAAGCACCATTTGAAAAAACATTAGGAACTGTCTTCCGAAAACCAAATACTTCAGTAAGTACTGAATCTTTGCGCTATTCTTATAATGAGGATCTACAATAGCCTTAGATATGAGCATGCTTAAAAAGTCAGGGAAACAGTTTGTTTCGAAACAGAAAACTTTGATGCACAAGAAATCTACAGAGAGAGTGGCAAGTGAATGAATGATGCCCTGTAAAAAGATATTAAACCTGTGGATCATTGTCATTTTTGCAAAATAACTTCTGCCGTCGTATGTAGATCTTTTGAGAAGAAACAAAGAACAGTCTTTGTTCTCCAACGAATTCAGACTAGATAGGAGCAAGCCTCCGATTTGTTTGTCTACAAAATATGTCTGTATATAGTATGACAGTTTTGTCATTAAATTCGTATTTTTAGTGTTATTCTTTAAAAGTGTGAGTGTTTGCAGATAATTGTGGTGTTAGACGATTTCAGTACATGGTACTAATTGCATAATTTGCAAAGAGCCGAACAAGCCTATAATGAAGATAGATATCTCCATCGGTTATTATTATGTAGATAGTCACTTTGGTCGACAATTCTGACAATGAGTCAAAATAATAATGTATTAAAACTACGCCTTATAGGTAATAAACTACGCTTATAACCTATCCCATTTCGTTGAGTGAGGTTATGGCTTAAAGGATTGGTATAATATGCCATTTGAACCATTTGTTTTTTAATTAGTATCCACTTTCATCCTGACTACGGACTGAGATTTTTAGATAAATCGTAGGCTTGTCTCTTCTTCCTAGTCTGGATTTGTTTATTCCAATAGTTACTTCAGTTAGCCCAAAAAACAGCCGACAATTAGGCAATCTATCTAAAGGTGCCTAGACAGTGGGATGAATACTTGTTATTAAAAAATGGAGCTCAGAACCTGAATGCTAGTTAGACTAAAAAAAATGTGTAAAGCTTATTGCTAATATAGCAAAATTTCCTTTCAATAAGAATATAATAAACACCTTTCTTAGATTTTCTCATAACGATTTCCAAATAGCAAAATAGCTTAGCTGAAGATTATATAGCATCTTAGTAACTAAATTAGAACTATCACAACAAGATGTTTCAATTCGTTAGCTCATATTGTTTGCAAAATTAATAGTCCTCCTCCATTCCACTACATCAAGTTACCTACTGTTTGACACCACAATTCAATAGTGTGGTAACTGCAAATCCAAGTTTTGAGATAAAAGGAGTTGTAGAAACCCTATAAATACTACTACACTAGGTTATTTTTGCTACCACATATGGTAGTTACATAAAACAAAAACATATGTTTTTATATGTTTATATTTCATAAATCCTATAAATTATATTTATAGCATTGTTGAAATCTTATGTTATTCTGCGTGTATGATCCACCACTGAGGTGGATCGATGAGATTGTACCTCAATGCAACAATCAAGATACTACACTGGCCCCCGCTAGATGGCGATGACGGTCGATTGACCATTTGAGTGAAATATAAGTCCTCAACATCATAAAATCTTGTTCTTCCTAATAGAAATATTTGTTATACTATTCTTGCGAATAATATGGATGCAATTTATCCGCTAATTCACGTTATTTAACGTGTAGTTCTGCTCGTTAAATTTGTGCCGCCATCTCGTAGCGCTACATTTAACTGAGCGCTGCGTTCAAAGCCGCTGACAGATAATGGTGAAGTAAACATCTTAGGATCTCTTACCGATTCTAACTGCTGCCAGTAGATGGCAAAAGCGGTTAATTATTGAATGAATGGAAATAATCATTATTAGATGGGTGGAAGCGTAGGCTAACAAATAGTTACAGGTTACAATAGACTCAATTATTATCCGGTCTAAGGTAGCGGACAGCTAGTCTGTAAACGAAAAAGCCGGATAAGATGAATCAATGTCCAAACATTCGCAGAACTTACAATTGTACTTATTAAGGTATGAGAAAATGCATAAATGTATATATAGCTACATAATACGTACATAATAATATGTATATTATATTAAATAATAATCTACATATTATGTGTTACTTTTTAAAGAAGCCTTCTATTTTTGCCGGCTGCGTAAAAATTGTTTAGGGGCGCTGCGTCCTAGGCGGTCCGGATAGCAGCGAGCCGGATAGTTGCGAGTTTACTGTATTCCTTTATTTACTGGCATGAGCGTATCCAGACCGAAATTTTTTCACGAAATTTTCACAAAGCGTTCCTAACTATTTTAGTATTGTTTTCCCTTTTTATTTATAGATTCCTTTACAGTGATATTTTAAATGTCAACTGAAAAACTTTTAAATCTATGACGAATTTCACTTTGTTGCACACCTAAAGCTGTATGTAGGTATATTTATGTCAAAAATATGCGACTTCTGGGATATTTTAACAAATTGTTGAGAATATACTCAAACATTCATGCATTTCTTACTTACTACCACGTCAACAGGAGGAAATATCTTATGATCACTTTAGGCATGTTTTGTATTTCATGTATCACTAATCCCTACTCTTATCCCGGAAAATAACTTTGGAATATCTATTTTCCGGGCTGCAGCCCAAACGGCTTACTGGAATTTGACATGAGGCGTCTGGCGCGGAAACTCTCAGTCGCTGGTCTGACCAAAATGAGCAAGGGTGTATAAATAGGCCATCTGCATCGTATACTGATTTCCTACATTCAGACATTCGTTTTCTTAGCATGATCGTCTTGATTGAGATTTGTTTGAGGTTTTGTTTTACTTCAAGTATTTATATTGTTTCTGTATCATTTTCATCAAATTTTTGAGAGCACGGGTAAGACGCTTATACTCGTAGGTCTGAGACGTTCAGATTCAGTAGGATTTGAGATCTTAGGGACAGGTATAATTAAGGTCAGCTTTCACTGTTCAGGGCGATATGCTTTTTCTAAACAAACTTTATTTATTATGTGAGTGGTATGGAAGAAAGTTAGATGAAGACTTGTTTTGATCATAGTAATAGAGTGCTTCCTTAGAGATCACTTTGAGGTCATATTTGATGTCATCGACAAAACACTTTTGTTACGCTACAAATTTTCTTTGGGTATTTCATAGACAAATATAGGCAAATAGGAGGATGTGTTCTCCGTTAAAACCATGCCTATAACCTTTTTGGGGTATGCAGACTGGAGATATATTCATATTTATAAATTTTAATTGTAATAGAAGAAATTACTTTTGAAAAATATATTTTCGTATATCGCATTTCAGTTTGAAAAATAAGTGCGTAAAACTGTTCTTGGTAATCTTTGATCATCAATTTTAAATGCTTTAAATGTTCATGTAACTGAAACGCTAAATATATTTATATTCAACACGAGGGAAGTACCGAGCTTTTTAAGTATTGGCCAGATTCATTAATTCCTCTTCTTGGAAAGTATCTTCGATTGCGAGAAAATTTTGACGCAAGCTTTCTAATTTTAACTCAGTCTAATAGTTATAATATTATGATCTAAAAACTAAAATTCCAGCACCTTTGATTTCGTTGCTGATATAGCTCCTAAAACTAACCCCGTTGTTGTTTCGCTGATTTATTTCTATGTTTCAAATGGAAAAAAATACATTTCCTTTGCCCAGCGCGGTGAACAACACCAACTTCGAGCAACTTTTCTTTCTACATATATGATTTCACGTAAGTGCCAGTGAAACATGGAAATAAATCTTTGATTTAGAGTCTTTCGGAGTTTGTGGACGTTTTAAAAAAATGACAAAATTTGACAGCTATTCCAACACTCTCTGAAAAGGTCGGTTACTTTGTGGCTGATGTTCTCTCCACCACATTTTATAAACTATTACTAATTAATCCGATCAGATTGGGCTTACGTTCATCCGGTAAAGCCCCTTTCATTTAGATATACAAGCTAAGGTCTTATGGTATGCTGAGTTGATATCGACGTTAGATCAGTTTATGATAGGATTTGAAAACTTTGACCTGATTTTTCATTATCCAAATTAGTATGTGAATATGTATCTGGTATCGGTTCAGTTTTGCGATGATAATATTGTACTTATCCTTTACTGAGTAGTCGGTACTCTATTAGATCTGGAGTAACCGATTACAAAATTCGATACACAATAAAATCGTTGTCCCCGCGGGGGTTTACTCGAACCTCGTACTCAATTACTGATTACTGATATGGTAAGTGAAATGTGTTGCATATAGGTACTACTTATAAGCATAAATGCAATGTAATTGAGAAATAAAACCCATGTGATGATTAATGGCTTATACAACCTTTTAATAGACATAATCATAGACATAAGTATAAGAGTTGAAACACGTATTTCCTATGAACGAGCTATAATTAAACGATGCTCAGGCTCCAATATTTACCAAGAGACTGAAAAATTGCGGAAGTCGTGATGATCTTAAAAAATGCAGGATCGATTTTTCCACATGACTACAACTTTTCTCCCTCCAAACGGGCTCATGCTAATCTAGAAAGTTCTGTTTTTATTTCCAAGCAATTCACGACGAGTAATTTGGATTTCGCGACAGGCACACTACGGCACAATAGACGAGACCTGTAGACACGATAACATATGGATTCACTCAAAATCAAAATAATAAAAACTAGTTTCTGGATATTGCAAATGCTTTCGACAATGTGCAGCATGTAGGGTTTTTTGAATCTTTCCTAAAAGGAATAAAGTTCAGGACCAAAATTAAGGACACGTATTCTACGCATCCCCCAGAGCTCAGTCCTGGGGCCTATTCCTTATTCTTTTTATCCTATAGTACCTGCAAAGTCCCTCTTAGTAGTCTCTCCACACTCGCCTAATCGAGCGAGTAAGGGACTGCAATGTGCAGTGAATAAAGTATATGAGTGTGCCCCTCGGTGCTCGGTGGCGCATCGAAAGTGGTGTCTCCAAGATACAGACTATCTACGTTACGCAGAAAATGTATTCTGCTCTAAAGCAGATCTCTGTTAATGGCATACCTCTCCCATGGGAACATATTTGGGTCTCACATTGGATAAAACTATGATTTGGAAAACTCATGTTCATAGCTTAACCAAGAGTGCATTTATAACTTTCCGCCACTTCTTTCCGTTTCTGAACCCAAATTCAAAAACCTCGTAAATAAAATTTCGCTTTATACTATGATTAGCCGTCATTCTTTGATCTACGCATGTGCGGCTTGGTATTTTGCCTTCAAGTCTCACACGCCTTTGCATGCGTCACAAGAAACCCAAATCAGTTCTAACTTCCGAGCAGGTACTAATTTAGCATGATCCTCGGACGATTCAAAGACAACTCGAACAGAAGACTGAGAAATCCAGAACGGTTCTAGAAGTACCAGAACGTCCTTACAAGCGTAAAAAGTAGTTTAGACTTACACTGTAACGGCTCATGAGCAATGGCGTAGCGATAAGGGTTTGAGGCACCTGTAAAATATGAGATTAACACTTGCCTAGGTACAGCCAGGCAGTTGATAGGTTTAAGTATCAAGTATATCAAGGGTGCTTTTTTTAATTGAAATGTCTTCTATGATCCCTCAGCAAGAAGAGAACAACAACACTATCCCCACCCCTTCAGACACTCCAGTACCACCAGGCTGCCATCACCCCTCTCAGGATACTGAAAACTGTGTCACCAGTTCGGCTGTGTGCCAGAAGGTGGCGTCTTCGCACGAGCATCACCGAAAGTTCACGATTGCTGCTGCCAATCCGATCTTGGCCGAGAAGCTGTCGACACCGGCTGACGCGCAGGCGCCGACCACGCAATTGGCCACACTCACACCGAAAGTGGAGAAAGGTAAGTGACAAATACGGGACACTCGAGAAAAGGTCCTAAACTCAGAAATTGCAAAGTATTCTGCTACAATTACCTGTATTTCGCCTCGAGAACGAGAAGAGAAGCGTGCAATACGTGTGTTAGAAAGAGATAGAAGTACCTCGTTGCCTAGCAAACCGAGTACTCTTTCTAACTCTAACATACATATATCGCTTGTCTATCGTGCACATTACGACGTCTGCCAACTTTGAATCTTACCCTATACCCTGAGAAAATAAAACCCAAAATTAGGATAGTTATGTTCCTAGAAAATGATACTTTTCCGCACACAACTGCAGTTCGCCGAACGACGTGGAGCGTAAAAATTATCTTTAATATACTAAAGCAGCAAAATAACGGATCAAGTAGGCCCAACTAAAGACAAAATTTTGGACAATGTGAGTTTTGCTTTCCAGCATTGGAGAATCGTTTGGAGGATGTTACTTTCGCTACACTCTACCATGGGAATTATTGATTTTTGGCTCACAACATTCAAACGCTTCTGATTGGTCGACGGGAGCTTTTTTAGGGAAATGTGAGTTTTGAATTTTAGAATTTGAAAATTTTGATATTTACGTTTATAGTTACTGAAACGGAACGTTTGCCATACGAATATCATACTAGTACAAAATGCAGTCGAGCCGCCGCTACGTGTCGTGTTATATACGATCCTAATACTATAGTGAGAAAACATCTGTACTCGTGTGTCTTCATTGCACTCGTCTATTTTTTATTTTTGTTTTACTTTTATTCAAATTATATTTAATTCCATTGCACAACTAAAAATTTTCCTTGAAATGTCCTAGCTGCTTGTCATATGCATAGTCCAAGTGTCATCGTAAAGTCTGATTTATGATATAATAAAAAAATATACTCGTATACCTACTAGTAGCCGCCATACAGCTAATTATAATGAAATGTATCTAATCCAGATATGTTGCTTTGGGATAATCGATTTAAGCCTGACTTGAAATATGGCAAAAATAAATTAAAGAGTATGTACAAAACTAAAAACTAATTTCATGGAGAAATTAAACCATTCCCTTATATCGTCAAGTTATACTGGGTGTCCAAGATAAGGATCCTATGCATGGGGATCTCAAGACATGTGGGTGGTACAGCTTAGGTAAAATTAGGGAAAAGTTGCGTTCTTTGGGGAGTATTTACATACCTTGGAGAATCTTGTAAGAAATTTCATGGCTTACTGAGATGTTTAGGAAAAATTAAAAGTTTTATCGTTTTCTAACTTGATTTTGAGAAATATCAAAAAACTAAAGGAACTTTTCCTTTGTCGCCTTTTAGGTTCATAATGGTGTTTTTAAATTTTGTGCCTGGCGGTTCGTTTTTGAGAAACCATCATTAACTGTATTTTTCATGTGGTCCGGAAAAACAGTACACCCTGTATCTAATAGCATTTTTTATATGAATTCAATGATGTATCATATGTTACATTCATTTTCTTGATTATTAGGAACAATGTGTTTTTCCTGATTTCTTTATTTTTTTCAGTAGGCGTTGTAAACAAATGCTTGACTTGACGTAAGTACCTGTCACCGACTATTGTTATGTTCCGTCCTGGTCAAAGCGCGCACGCAGCGAAGGAAAGCCGCACCGCACCCCTTCCCCCTATCTTCCTGTCCTCTGGCCGCATATAAACCATCATTCCTTGTCCTTGTGTCAAACTGGTAACACCGCGATCGGCGCGCATTTTTACGTTTACAGCAGTAGTAGTACTAGCGGTACATTTTGCTTGGGCTAGCAAATTCCATCTGGCTTGTGATAGTAATGTAGCAATATAGCATTTTTCATTTATAAAAGATAAAAATTGGGTACATCTATGTGAGACTAGCGGTACATTTTGCTTAGGATAACAAATTCCATCTGGTTTGTAATAACTATGGAACAATATTGTAAGGATGCACATGAGAAGTTAGGAAGAAGCCGAAGTACCATTTTTCATTACTGAACGACAGAGATTAGGTACATCTATACGAGACTAGCGTTACATTTTGCTTGTGATAGCAAATTCCACGTGGTTTGTGATAACCATGGAACAGGTGTGTAATTATGAACATGTCAGGTTAGAAAACCGCCAATGTATATCTTTTTATTATCACCAGATAAAGAATAGGCACCTTATGCAAGGTTAGCGTTACATTTTCCCTGTGATAGTAAATTTCATCTGGTTTGTGATAACCTTGGAACATCTTTGTCAGAATGCACATGACAGTTTAGGAAACCACTAAAGTACCATTTTTCGTTAATAACGGATAGAGATTATGTTTAATCTATGTGCGACTAGCGTTACATTTTGTTTCTGATAGCAAATTCCATATGGTTTGGAATAGCCATCGAACACTTCAATGATATGCACATGACAGGTTACGAAACAGCTGAAGTACTATTTTCCATTTACAACATATAGAAATTAGGTACATCTATGTAGGCTAGCGTTACATTTTGCTTGTGATAGCAAATTCCACCTGGCTCGTGATAACTATGGAGCAGGACTGCGCGTATGAACATGACCGGTAAGGAAACCACCAAAGTTCTAATGTTCAGTAATAGCGGAAGCTAAATATCATTATGCCCGATTAACGTTACATTTTGCATAGGTGGCACAGTAGAATATGGGCTACTATGGACACCCCCCACCACTTCCACTTTGGCCACGCCCACCGCGTGCTCTGATTGGCGGATCAGACGGCGGGAAATTTGAACGGGGTTGATGGTATATTTTGATTGGCGGGAACCGCTAGATCCACCGCGTGCTCTGATTGGCGGATCAGACGGCGGGAAATTTGAACGGGGTTGATGGTATATGTTGATTGGCGGGCTAGATGCCGCACCCGACCGGAAGTGATTCAGACAGCCAACGATAGTAAGGTGTAGTATAACGTCTATGCGTAAGTGATGTGACTCATTTCATGTTTTGCGGTAAATATTTGCATATAGATCGATAAAAGCCGATGAATACTGGTAATTATAGATGCAATTCTGCGGATTCAGTTTAATTGGAAAAACGTATAAAATTCGCGGAGAACAATGCGTATAGGATGATCTCAATAGTCAACACGTCATATTCAGTGTGCATATAAAAATGGAATTGCTCATATGTGGTGCATACAGTTAATGTTAGTTAATTTTTAACATTGATACAATATTGAAAACATAGTACAGTCTATATTGTGTATCTAATAGATTCCAACAAGGCAATCACCTACGTCGCAAATGAGGTTAGGTTCAGCGCCGGTGTAGTCGTAGCTGTGATATGCAAGAAGTACCGGGCGGGGCTGTCAAGCATGGGTGAATGGGCAGGGAGCGCAGGCTGTCAACTAGTTAATACCGGCCAGCGGTGACCTTGGAACACTGTGGTCAGTTAAAAAGTGGTGGGGGTATAATTGAGATTATAAATACCTATGAATCATCGCAAATTATCTTGTCAGTTAGCTACAGCGAACAGACGTGCTCAGTTCAGATTTAGTCGCTAGTTAACGTTTTAGTTTTTAAAAAAATGGAAAAATTCTTCATCGTTAAGGATTCTACTAAGAAGATTAAAAAATTTAATCTATATGGGCGAGAAGTGGAATTTAAAATACGACCTATCCCTAAAGACGTCGAACCTGTGGGATGGATCAAAGACGCTCTGGAGGAAATAGTAGCCAAAGGAACTGAACATCTCCAGCCCAGTGATCAAGTTGGATTCACTTTCTGTTCCAAAGACTTTACCCGCGGTCAAGGGTGGATAGCTTTTAAATCGTTTTCCGACGTTTCAAATGAGGACATATGGGAGAAGATATCTTCCATCTATCAGTCAAATTCTGTGGGGTTGAATACCGAGACTTTTTGCTTGGGAGTTACGTCCATAAGGTTGCCTGCTGGTCGTGGTAGAGGTCAGAATTTCAATACTTTTGATGAGGAATGCGCCAAAAGAAGAGGTATTATCACCGTTAAAAACACCGATAATTTGTGTCTCCCACGAGCCCTTGTCATCGCCATGGCCCATTTGAACAAAGACAAAGATTATAGCAGAATCCGCCTCGATCGAGGAAAAATACAAGGACAAAGAGCTGCACAACTTGTGGAAAAGGCTGATATTGTTATCCCTGAGGAGGGGTGTGGAATACCTGAACTTCAAAAGCTACAACGATATCTGCAAAACTACAAAATTGTTGTATACAAGTTTGGGTGCAAAGGTCGTGACGTCATTTTTGAAGGCGTGTCCACTGGTTCGACGCTTAACCTAATCTATCACGAGGGGCACTACAGCGTCATAACATCCCTCACTGCTGCCTTTTGCTGCAGCTATTTTTGTGAGAACTGCCACATTCCGTATAATAATAAACAAATTCATAGATGTGATAAACAATGTTATGCTTGTAAAAGATCTCCGGCCTGCCTGAAAACGAAGCACATCGAATGCAAAGAATGTAATAGAAGCTTTTATGGACAAGAATGTTTTAACGCTCATTTACCATCGGTCTGTTCTAAAATTAAAAGATGTGTAGACTGTTTTAAAGTTCACAACGGTAATGATCACATCTGCGGACATATACTTTGTAAAACATGTTATAAAAATCAACCAATTGAACATATGTGCTATATACAGCCTGACAGAAGTATTCCAAAATCAAATGATGTCTTATTAATATTTTACGATTTGGAAACCCGTCAGGAGAAGGAATTACCCAACGGATCTTTACTTCATGAGCCAAATCTATGTGTATTCAAACAATGTTGTGAATCATGTACCGATAATCCTATATGCAAGAAATGTGGCCTTCGATTACAGATTCTTCGATGTCAAGACGTCATTTCTCCATTTATGCATCATATTCTGACACTTCGTAAAAAATTCAAGAAAGTCATTGTACTGGCGCATAATGGTGGAGGATTTGATCATCAGTTTCTACTTCGTTACATTTTAGAGAAGACTAGTCTGTACCCAAATGTAATTATGAGAGGAACAAAATTAATATTGATGGAGGTAGGAAATGTAAAATTTCTGGATTCTCTCAATTATTTTCCTATGCCTCTAACTGCTCTACCCAAGGCGTTTGATTTGAAAGAGCTAAAGAAAGGATACTTTCCACATCTATTCAACACTTTGG